AAAAGCTGCCAGGCCCTGGAGGTTGCATGGAGGGGTGGGGGAGGCTCAGGGCCGGGTGGGGGGCTGAATCTGGGGTGGCAGGCCGGGGGGGGGGGGGGGGGGCGGGGCGCAGGGGATGGGGGCCCTGGGGGGACTACAGACTCTCGGGGGGGCGGCGCTGGACCAGAGTGGGGGCTGGTCCCTGGGGTAGGAGCTGGTGTGCTGGGGGGATGCCGGTGGGGGGAAGCTCTGTGTGGTGTGGAGGTATAAAGGGGGGGCTGGCCATGGGACATGGCCTGGCCCCCCCCCTTCACATCTGTGCCCCCCCCAGAGCGGGTGCCGATGGGCCGGGTGTTGAGCACGCGGGCGATGAAGGAGATGTACCGGAGCTACGTGGAGATGCTGGTCAGCACAGCCCTCGACCCCGACATGATCCAAGCCCTGGAGGACACCAACGGTGGGTACCCCCCCCTCGCTTCCCCCCCATGGCTGGAGGACCCCCCCCGCTTCCCCCCCACACCTGGGGGCCTGCCCCTCTCTTCCCCCAGCCAGGCAAGCGGGGAATCTGCCGTGCCCCGTGCGCGCACACAGCTGCGGGAGGGGTACGTGTCCCCCATTCGGGGGGGGTTACTGGCTGCTCCATTGGAGCTGGTGGGGGGGGGGGGGGGGCTGAGCCCAGGGTGGCCACATGGCCGATTCTGGGGGGACATGATGGCCAGTGACCTTTGCCCTTTGCCCCCCCCCCAGACGAGCTGTACCTGCCCCCCATGCGCAAAATCGATGGGATCCTGAACGACCACAAGAAGAAAGTCCTGAAGCGGGTGTCGCTGCACCCGGCGCTGCAGGTAGGGGGCACGGGGGGGCTGGGTGGGGCACGGGGGGGCCCTGGGGCTGGCTGGGGAAGTCTGGGGGGGCCCTGGGGCTGGGGGGGGGGCGCTGGGGGGGCCCGGGGGCGGGCGGGGGGGGGATTGGGTTCTTTGCACCTGTGGGGCCGGGGGGGGGACCCTGTAACCTAGGCGCCATGTGCAGGAAGCGCCCCCCCGCCATCCTGCTGTGACCCCCGTCCTCCCCAGGAGGCGCTG